AACTCTGACCATACCCTGCAAACCCTGTTCATTGTTGAACCACCATTGTTAACACCCAATTCCACGTCAAAAGTGTCATGCCCTGTCAATCCCACATCTCTACAAAACCAAACCTCTCCCAAGCATCTATCCCTCTCACTGAGCACCCATCTAGCTGCTACCAAAATCCCTTTATAGAGAAGAACCCCAGGCACCAGTCGCCCAAGCCCCAGAGTTTTTGCTTATGTCAAAACACTAAAAAAAAAAAAATCTCAGTTTCCATACCTCGAAACCCAAGCTTTCTTAGACCCAGAAACCTAAGGACCATACATAAAACTTTTACCCATTAGAAAGTAAAAAAAAAAAAACACAAAAAAAGAAAAACAAAAAACACAGTCATCTCCGTAAGGAAAAACCTCAGTGCCAAAACACTCTTGTGACAAAAAAAAAAGATATTATCTGTTTAGGTTTTTAAAAAATAGAATAAAAAAAGAAGAATACCAAAACTTTAAGCCCCAATCTACACCGATCGAGGTTATTTCCTGGGAAAAAAAATCAAATCTAGAAAAATCACGTTGAGGTGAACGTTTGAAAGGTTTTTTTGTGTTTTTTGATCACCGATGGTGGTTGGCATGACGGCACAAACACCGACGATCGAACACCGGTAGAACCCCTGGAGCTCTCTCTAGAGCTCTAAAAGTTTATTTTTATAGAAAGGATAAAATGAGCTGAATTTTTTTTTTTGTTTTATATAGAAAGCTAAAGCCCAAAACAATGTCGTTTTAGGCCAAGAAAGATCTGTGTATAGACCCAAATTCGACCCGGGATCCGCACAACTCGATCCAGCGACTCATTTCAGCCAGCCTTGAATTGGTCCAGATGAACCGCCAATGAATCGGTTCAAATAGGTTTGAATCGTTGAACTGATCAAACTGGCAATGACCGAACCATTGACCTATCTAGTTCAATTTTTTTTTTTATTTTTTTATATATTATTATTTTTGTTATTTTAAGCTTTATTATTAATATTTATGCATGATAAAATTTTAAATTTCTTAGAATAAATATTTGATTGTTTTTAATAATAATAAAAATGGAAACAATATAAAAAAATAATAATAAAAAATAAGTAATGGTATATATGGTTATTTTTTTTAATAAAACCTTACAGAATAATAAATAGTAATAAATACATAAAATGTTTATAAAATGAATTAATAATAAGAAAATATTTTCTGCCTAGATGTTGGAGGGAATATAATCGTATTTTAAATAATGATAATTCTACCTAGATGTTGAAGACTTATTATTATTAAAAAAAATACTAAATAAATTAATAATATTATTAATAATAAATTTTCATAAAATTTTTTTTTTAAAATTAATTTTCAAAAATTATAAAAATCAAACTTGCTCCGAAAGTCCATCTACATGTTGAAGAATTTTATAGATGTTCACTTTTTTAAAAAAATTCAAAAAATTAAAACCAAAACCCAAAATTTCAAAAACTTAAAATCTAATACCTTAAAAATCCAAAACTTAAAACTTTATTTCTTAAAATTCAAAATCCCAAATCTTAAAATTCTAAAAACTTTAAATTTGGTGCACAATCTTAAATCATCACCTGAAAGTCACCAAATCTTAAAACCTCAATTAAATCTATACTCAAAACTATTTCAAAACTCTAAGGATACGTGTAAAAATATCAAGTGGAGTAATTTATTCTCGAATGCCGTCTAGATGATGGGCTATTCAGAAAACTTTATTCCGTTAAGTTTTTCAGGCATGTCTTTAATTCACTTTAACAATGGAGTTAATAACTAATTAATAATAAAAAAAGTATAGTAATAAAATGGGATCTTAAATATGAATAGTCGCATTTAAGCTCCGCCTAGATATTGGAGAGTCAAGGTGGTTTCATTATATTTAAGAATCCAATTTCAAATTTGCATTTCATCACTTTACATAACACCTATTAGCTTAAATGCATTTATTTGTTATTGTTTGCACTCATTCTAGATATTTGTTTGCTACTTGATAGTATCATCATTTATTTTTTTGCACAAAATATTTTTTACTTACTTTAAAAATGTGAGGTTATAAAATAAAATAAAATAAAAATAACATCCCGAGGGGAACATTTCTTGATACTTTGCCTGGATATTAGAGAGTTATCAATAATTATCCTGCCCAATGAATGTCATTTTTATTTTCAAGGGATATCATGATAAATATCAGTTAAAAGCATTATCTTTAAAGTTCTGCCTATATGTTGAGAAATTTTAAAATAATTCTTTAACTTAAATATTTCTTCGATACTCTTAAATAAAGAATTTTGATTAAATTAATTTTTTTTAAATAATAAAAAGGGATTATTATTAAGTTTCAAATTGAGACCATTTCATCCAACATTGAAAATAACATATGATTAAATGGTATCAATTTATGAGCACGGTAGGGGTGCTAATCTTTTCCCATATGTAACGGACTCTCGGACCCAACCTGATTTTCGTAGACTGAAATTTTTTTTTTGATAAACTTTAAACCCACTTTACAGTTTTATTAAAAAGATAAATTTTTTTGTGGTCAATCACACCCTAAAAAAAGATTGGTGCTACCTTTTTCTTGATTTTTAAAATTCTTTATGTCTGGCGGTCCCAAAACCGTTATGACACAAGTAATAATTTTTTTTAAAGAAAATGTAGATATAGAAAAAAGCTTGATTGAAAAAAAAATCATAACTAGATATTTATCAATTTGATTTTAATTATCATAATATTTATATATATATATATATTAAACTAAATCCATATGTTTCTAAAAATATAATGATGATAAACTTATATTTTTCATATTAAAAATTATTTATAGTAAATAAATCTAAATTAAAAAATTGTAACGTTTAAATACAGATAATTTTTGTTAATATATATTCAATATATATAATAAAGAATAACATATACGAACATAGTAAATTTAAGTTTGAAGAGTCTTAACTAATTTATTTATAAAAAATTTTAAAATTATTAAAAAGTAACATACGAATAAAAATATTTTCAAAATTTTTGAAAAACCATGAACCCTAAGCTTTTATATAGATCTGTCAATGGGCCAAAGTTTAAAATTTCCGTTAATGGGATTTGAAGGTGATCACATATTTATTATAATATGTTAAAAAAATAATTTATATAAAAATCATAAAATATGATGTAATATTTTAATATTATTTATAAAAGTTAAAAACTATCATTTATAATATTATTGCAAAGAAAGCTGTAGGATCAAATGGAGTTTCGATTGAAATTTGGAAATACTTAGGTTAAATAAGGATAAGATAATTGACGAATCTTTTTAATAAAATTTAATGCACTGAAAAGAAGTTAGAAAAATAGAAAAAGAGTACTCTAAAACCTTTATACAAAATTAAAGATGATATACAAAATTATTCAAACTATCGAAGAATAAAACTTATAAGTCACATTATAAAACTTTGAAAGAGAGTAATTGAATGTAGGTTGGAACATGAGTTTATTATTTTCGAAAATCAATTTGGGTTTATATTAAGACGCTCTATAATGAAGGCAATTCACCTATTGAGGCTTCTATTGGAGGCTTTTCAGGTGAAAAAAAAAATCTATATTGGTATTTATTGACTTAGAGAAAGCATATGATAGAGTATCTCGAGAGGTGTTTTAGTAAGCTTTAATAAATAAAGGAGTTTCTTTAAAGTACATTAACATAGTTAAAGATATGTACGAATGAGTTATAACGAATATGAGAACGTTTGGGGGCATGATTGATAACTATCTCATTACCTTGGGATTGCATTAAGGCTTAGCACAAAATCCATTTCTTTTTGCATTAGTTATGGATAAGTTCACTGGAAATATCGAAGACAAGGTGCTATGGTGTATGTTATTTGTCGATGATATAATTTTAGTTGCTAAAATTAGTGATGATCTTAATAAGAAATTGAAATTATGGAGGCATACATTAGAATATCGAGACTTTAAAATTGAGAGGATCTAAAACTGAATATATGGAATGTAAGTTTAGTAATCATAAGAAAATGAGTGGTAATATGATTAAGTTGAATGGTGAGATGGTACTAAAAAATAGTCATTTTTTATATTTGGGATTACTTATTTAGAGCTATGCTAAGATAGAAAGGGAAGTAAATCACAGGATCTAAGCAAAATGGGTTAGGTTACCAAATATATCATGTGTGTTGTGTGATCGTGACATACCTTTAAAGTTAAAGGTAAAACTGTATAAAATAATTATAAGGTCTACATTGTTACATGGAATTGAGTGTTGGGTCATTTAGAAACAACATAAGAAAAAAATGAGCATAGTTGATATGAGGATGCTTATAAAGATGTGTGGTAAGACTAAAAGAGACAAAATAAGAAATGAATAAATTTGAGAAAAATTAGGAATAGTATGAATTGAAGAAAAGATGAGAGAAGACCATTTGAGATAGTTTGGATATATGAAACATATGTCTATCTATGCACTGGTTAAGAGAAATAAAGTTCTAGATTTAGGAGAAACCAAAATTTTTAAAAGTAGATCATGAAAGACGTAAATGCAAATAATAAGTAAAGATATGAGGGTTAAAAAAATAGATAAAAAGATTATTGTTGATAGAAATGAATTGTACAAGAAAATTCAAAACTATGACCTAGCATGATTTTTTTTTTTTTTTGCCTTTTATTTAGTCAACCTTAAAGTTGTGGGATATAAAGTTTAGTTTGTTGTTGTTATATAAAATTTTAAAACTCCAACTTATAATTTTTTGATAAAATTATAAACAAGTTATAATCATAATAAAGTATTATATCTATGTAAAAAATCATTGAGTAATTAAACAAATAAATCAATTAATAAACTAGAATATAATTAAGAAAATTTAACATAAAATTAAACCAAACATGCGGTAAAACTTAATCTAAATGGCAAGAACCTAAAAAATATAATGCCTCCTCCTTTACACTCATTGGCAAAACCCCAACTTATAATTAAGACAACTTAAAGATGAAATTATCCATCTCAAAGTATTGAAAACCTACTCTGTTTTACACTTTATCTTTCAAGCGGCAGAAAGATAAAAATAAATTGCTCTTTCTCTCTCGACCGAGCTGAAAAAATGGCTAATGGGATAGAAAACGAGGAGGTAGTTATAGTAAAGCCTCAAACAGACAAGAGAAAGTACAGGAGGATCGTCCTAGGAAACTCCCTCCAAGTTCTCCTGGTCAGCGATCCCGACACCGACAAGGCAAGCCAATCCCATGCCACGGCCCTTTCTTACTACTTTTCTGTTCTATCAAAATTTTATTAATCTATCCCCGAAATTCTGATTTTCACTTTTCATGTTTCAGTCTGCTGCATGTATGCTTGTTAGCGTGGGCAACTTCTCCGATCCAGATGGCCTCGAGGGCCTTGCCTCTTTTCTTTGTACGTACATATCTATATCCTTCATTTTTCTTCTAATAAGAACTGAGTTTCTGTATAGATTTTTTTTATCCATGATTTTCTAGTTTTATAACGGGAGTTAGTCATCTTCTATCCTATAAATTTTACTCTCCTGCCTTTAAATTCGAATAGAATTTCAATTGGAATTTCAAGTTTTAACAATTAGGTGCCTTCTTATGCTGAAATAATTATGAAGCTTTTGTCCTTTATCACGCACGTGTTATGTTTCTACTGCTAAAGGGTAGGGAGTGTTGTGACTTGTGATCCTTCTACTGATCTCTTGAATAAACAAGTCTTTGGGTTTGAAGTGTAAGATAATTTAAAATGTCGTGTATCTTATATTGGATAGAAAGATTTAATTATTGATGAATAAATTAATTTTTGTATTAATTTTATTCATATTTTAAATAATTATATTTGAACAAAAATAATTATTATATGATAAATGGTTATAATTATTTGAATATAAATATATTATTATTTTATAAAAGTTATGATTATACAAAAAGTCATAAACATTTGAATAAAAATTTATGTCTGTGTATTCATTACAAATAAATATTTTAGTATAACTATTTTCACTACTTCTAATTGGAAAGTTTGAGATTTTATTGTATCTTATAAATATAATTGCCTTTAAGAAATTATTTTTCACGTCTCAAAGTCAAAATTTTTTTCTATTATTTCTTTTCTCATTTATTTTTTTTCTAACAACTTAAAGACAATTATGAAATTTATATTTTACATGAAGAAAATGCAAGAAAAAGAAACTGACAAAGTTGGCAAAATCAATTTTGAAACAAGCATGGAAAGTTTCAATTATTTAAATAGTTTTTTTGTGAAATAAAATACAAGATAAGTTTATTGTTATTATCTTTCTAGTTTTTATATTCTACTAAAAAAATTGATAATTAATAATTCATAAGAGACCTTAAGTCTCATTGAATTTTATTTTTTTATTGACTTTTTTTTACTCTTTTGATTCTAAATTAAATTATTTAATTTATGATTTATAATTTTATAGTATGTTATATATGAATTTTCTTGATCATGGCACTGAATGGTCATGAGCAATAAAATAGATACGGAGGGCTTGCTAGCTTTGGATATAAATCTTTTATAGCCTTGTTATATTTTGGTGAGGCCATGATTATCAAATCAAAATGACAAAATTCTTGAGAATTATTTTAAAGCATAAAAGAAATTATAAATTTATAAATCTTTTTGAAGAAAAAAAGCAAGTATATATGTTTTTTTCATAAAATTATATTTTATGGTCTATATTCCATGATTGCATTTATTGACAAGAGAATAATGTAAGACTCATATTATTTGATTTATATAATATTATTTCGACAAGAACTAAACATATTATTTAAGATAACTTCAATTCAATTGAAGAGGAGTTATATATTTCTTTGTAACTAATTAAAATGCTTTTTATTTGTTAGGTAAAAAATGTTATGTATTTTATAATTTGGATGCCAAATTTATAGTACCGTGTGGTTATACATGAAATTCTAACTATTTCTAATGACATGAACCATGGTGGATATGGCTTTAATGTTCATGACTAAATAATTTTTTAGTATCTAAGAGTCGGAATGAAAGTCTTAAAAGGAGACTATAAAAAGCATAAGCTCACTAGTTTTGAAGATGATTATATTTGGTATCATACTTATTGATGCATACTTTCATATTAAGTTCAAATAAAAGTTTTGAAACTTTTATAAAAAGAAAAAATTAAGTTATAGAATATTTACTAATTATCTTTCACTAAGGGTGGATTTGAAGGCCTTCTACTTAAACCAAAACAACCATCAAATAGTGAAAAGATAAATAAAATGGTAACTTGATTAAGTATATATGATATCTTAATAATTTAATGGGACATTCTTTAATAAAAAAATGCAAATTTGAACATGGTGGGGATGATAAGAATCAAAAGAAATAAAATTGTCACCATAGTATTGTAAGATTTTAATATAATTTTATGAGCAAATTATACAAGCTAATAAGTTTAGTTCAACTTATTAAAATAAAATTATAAAAGGTTTTTAAATATCTTAAAAGGACTAAAATGGTTTGATTTATTTATTAAGTTTATCCAATTGTACTAAAAGAATAATTGTATTAAAATAGATAAAATTGTAGAAATAGAATGTTTGAAATTTTATATTAATAAGTATAGAGTTGTGGTCACAACCAATACCATATATTTCTTAAAATGACAAAAACAAGGCAATAATGTCTAGAGCATATAAATGATATGCAAAATGAAAAGTTTGAATATATTAGCCTGGAGTAATTATATTAGAGATTCAATCTTAAGTAAGGGTAATTATCATAAAAGAAAATTGAATTATAAGATATTTTATTAGTAATACTATAAGTAGAATAGATTTAAACCATTACTATTAAACATTAATAATGGGAACCCAATTTTGAATTAGTAACCTCTAATTACAAAGTTTAATAAGTAAAATCAAGTTATTTTATGTCTGTTAAGCACTAATATAATCTATTCAAATTTTAGAAATTGGTGTAAGCTATTGCATAGAGAAGATGAGTTTTTTATACTCTTAATGGAGTTTATTATTTAAATATCTAAAGCAAAAAAGACATAATGAAAACTCTACATATATAAACAAAGAAGTGATGTTACTTCAATAAGAAAAATTGGGATCTCTCTTGTAAATGTTTATGAATAAGATAAGCACATAGTTATAATAGTGTTAAAGCGGTTATAAACTTCTGACAAATGATTAAATAACTATTATGCGTATTATATCTTCATTTTTAACATTAAGAGTTGAGGTTTAATCTAAAGATACCATCAACTTCATTAGAATTCTAAGATATATACGCTAATTGACGCTGTAAATCAAGATATGCTTTCTTATATTCATAATATTTATTTATATGAAAGATTAAAGATTAAGCACCAACATTTCAAACTAGTAAGAGATTATTGATAGTTTAGAATGTGGTGCATCTCACATTGGATAGAAAGATTTAATTATTGATGAATAAAATTAATTTTTGTATAAATTTATTCATATTATAAAAATTATATTTGAACAGAAACAATTATTATATGACAAATGGTCATAATTAATTGAATATAAATATATTATTATTCATAAAAGTCATGATTATACAAAAGGTCATAACTATTTGAATATAAGTTTATGTTTGTTCATCATTATAAATAGATTTTTCAGTATAACTACTTTAACTATTTTTAATTAAAAAGTTTGATACTTTATTGTATCTTGTTAACATAAGTGCCTTTAAGAAAGAATTCTCCATGTCTTAAAGCCAATTTTTTTATTATTTTTCTTCTCTTATTTATTTTTTCTAACATGAGGTCTAGTCCCATAATAAGTGATAACTTAAAAAAGGTGAGCATAAGTTTAGGCGAATCAAAAAAACTAATTGAAATGTATTTCATTTGGTTTATAAGGGGGATTAATTTGATTCCGAATTTCATTCAATTAAACTAAGTGAATTGTTTGGTTGTTTGTTTGAGTTTTGTATTTTTAAAATTGATAATGAAATTAGACTGTAAACAAATAAATATAAATGAATTTCGTTCTATTTATGATCTGTTTATTTAATTAATGAACCATGAAATTTTATTCGTGATTGTTTGTTAAGTTTAATAAATGAATATGAACTAGACATGTTTATATGTTCACGAATTATTTATCAAACGCTTTGTTATTTACATTTAAACAAATCAAACATGAACAAAATTTGTTACATTTTTATCTATTTGTTTAATTAATTAATCATGAAATATTATTTATGATCTTATGTTAAACTTAATAAAAAAATAAAAACCAAACCCGAGCTGTTCATCATTCTATTCGTTTACACCTTTAAATAGAATTGATTGAATTAACTCATATTAATTGTAATACTTCATATATTTTAAAATTTTTTTTCATATAAATATATGATAAATATATTATTTTTATTTATAATTTTAAAGCAAATGGCAAATATGTACATACCCTCCTAATTTCCTGATTAACACAGCGCTAAACCCATAACATATCTTGATCTTTTTTTTTTTTATTGTTTCATTATTCATTCATAAATACATTGATGCACTTGAAAACTTGTTGTTGAAAATTGTTGATTGGGTTTGAATTTTGAGTTATCAGGAAATTGTTGAAAACTATTAGAAAATTATTCAAACCATGAAACCGGTCAAACCTATCAACTTAGTTCGGTTTTGGTTATTGTCAGTTCCTAATTCAAGTTCGGTTGTTTTCAGTTTGTTAATTCGGATGTTTGAATTTTTAAAATTGAATCAGTTGGATGCTCTCCTTTAGTAAAAGAGCTTACGTGATGTGAACCCTTAGTGAGAGATAATAGTATCGAGATATGCTTGGATGGCGCTACACGATTAGGTGGAAGAGAATGTGATGGATCCCTCATCGTTAAAAAGATGAGATGGATCTTGAGCTTATAAGTAAACGCTTACCATCCCAAGGAGGTTTTGCGTTTTGGGTAGGAAATTTGAATCAATAACGCTTAACAAATAAAAATTTGGTACTTTCTTGTATTTTTAATCCTTAAAATACCCTTAAAAACCTTATAAAAAGACATTAATAATTATCTATGCCCTTAGGATTCACATTTACTTTATAAATTATAGATTGTATAATAATAATAAATAAATAAATAAATAAGTTACGAAAAGCACGGCCTACTTTTTTACATACGAGAAGTTCTATTTAAGGTGAAGGGGATTCAAATATTAGACTCTAATACTGCTAAATAGAGACAACAACACAAGATCAAACCTAAGTTTTGCAAAACATGATTTAATCATAAATTTATCTGTAGATAATAATAAATATAATAAATTTATATTGTGTTTGATATATATGATTATGATATAATACGATAAAATAATATTATAAATAAGATTGTATTAAATAATATTATCTAATTTTATGTTGAATATATATAAAGATTATGATAAAATAATTTATTTATTAATTAAAATTATTTTTTTTAAATTCATATAATTTAAATTATTGATTTAATTTTTAAAAATATAATAAAATATCATGTGTTGTTTTGTAGTGCGCGTGCTGCATAATGCTAGTGAAAAATATCCTGCAGAAGGTAGCTTCATCAAGTACGTTAGCGAGGTATTATTCGTCTTAAATGTACAATGTTCCTCACTTGTTGGTTATCTTAATAAAAATAAAAATACAGACTTGGTAAATAATTTTCATTTGATTATGTTCTTGCTCTCTATCATAAAGTTAAAAAAGAAAAAGTATTAAACTTACTAAAGGTTTAAACAAATGGGAAATAAAATGAAAATCTAAGAACATGACTATTTAATTATTTTATGTTAATGGTAAAAAATTCCAACTCGTACAATAAAATTGAAATAGATTAATTTAAAATACTTTTGGTAGATTTAAACTTAGTGTATTTTTTCTACTATTTAGCATGGAGGGCACCGAAATGGCTCTATGAATTGTGATTGGACCAGCTATTATTTTGACATCAACAATGACAGTTTTGAAGAAGCTTTGGAACGGCATGTGTTGTATTTTTTTTTCCAGTTTTCATGGATGTTATTTTCATTAAATGTTCATTTATTACACTATTGAGCTTTTTCTTTTTGGTACAATATTATTCAGGTTTTCCCAGTTCTTAATCAAACCATTAATGCCATCTGAAGCTACCGTGAGGGCAATTAAAACTATTGAGTCCGGTGAGCTCGTTTGCACTTCGTTTTTGGTTCAATACAATGCTTTCTAGCTAGTATTTTTGGAACATAACGCATCTCTCTCTCTCTCTTTCCAGCATTCCAAAAAAACTTACTGTCTGACGGGCGGAGAGCGTACCAGGTATTAGTTTTACTTTGTTCTTGAATCATTTGTTGCCACCAATTAATGAATTAATGCCGAATGTCAATATACTAATTCAAAATTAGTGCTACACTGAATTTTTTTTGTTGGTTTATTGCGTTTCTGATTCCGTGTCTAGATTTGTTAAAGTTGGTGATAAAATAAATTTATATTGGTTAAATTTGTAATGTTTTGAAATTTTAAATATAATAAAAATCTCTCTTTAATAACAACTGCTTATAAGTTGAATATCCAAAAATTCAATTGGGTTTGGCCGTAAGTTTTTATACCTAAATCAAGTTTACTCCGTTTTAATTAAATTGTTTTATTAGTAAATAATATATTTTAATTTAATTTTAAAATACGTTTTAAAATATTAAATAATATTTTATTATTTTAATAATAAAATGATAATAAAAATGGATTGGTCAAGTCCCACTGGAACTTGACTTCTCAGAAGGAAGACCAAGTAGGCTTGACTTTACCAATGGGCACCTTTGCTGTATAATTTTTTACATAATTTATCCAATAAATTATATCAATTTATCCGTTTTAATTCTTAATTTGATTTAGTTTTCATATAACCAGTTTTCTTTAAAAACACTACTTGTATTTACTTTATTTATGAAAACTATAATTACATGATTGAATTATTTCCTTAAAATGAACACTAACATATTAAAAGTTTACGGTTGTTATGTGAACATGTATCTTTTTAATTTTTGAGAAGACAAAAAGAGATGCTGAACCAAATAAATTAAAAATTTACATATAAAAGAGGCAAAATAAATTTATCTTTAAAATTTAAAATTTGATATTTAACTATCATAAACATTATTCATGTATATTATTTTCGTTAGTATTGGGTAAACACTTTTAATGTGAGAATTAGAGGTGTCTATGTATTGAGTCAAGTAAACCTATCTATATACTAATTAAGAGAAATGAGTTTTTGGATTTGAGAGAAACCACGAAAGATATAGATGTAAATAATAAGGATATAAGATTAAAAAAATAGATAAAAATGTAGTTTTTTCTATAAAAATGAGTAGTGCAAAAAATTTGAAATTATGACCTAACATTATTCTTTTTGGCCTTTCAAACAATTCTAGAATTATGAGATATAAAACTTAATTTATTGTTATTGTTGTATGCATTGGGTTGAGTCATTTGCTCCTCTAAATGCAAAGATTGTGCTTAGGTTTGGTCCACCCGAGCCCAACCTTTTAGGCCTAGTACTATTTAAAAATATTAAAATAATAAAAAAATGTTTATATTACTATTTTAGTATTTTTTTAAAATTAAAATAAAATAAAAATATTTTTTATTAATTAAATAATGACTCAGACCTTACAAGATATGGGCTTGAAAATTGTTATCAAGACTGAACCGTGTCGGGCTCGTGAGCTAACGGGCCGCTAGACCTATGGACAAGTCCAGTGAGAATCATGTGATCTACATCTCCCTAATACCTTCTTCTCTTTTATGCAATTTCTCCACTTCTAATGCATCCAAAATAGAGTACCAATGAAGTACAAAAGCTAATAAAGTGATTTAGCCGCAAATTTTGCTTCATAGTATCATGCAATAAATTACAATGAAGTTCTAACACCATAACAAAACACTCAAAAAAGGAAAAGAAACTTTTCACAAGATTAACAAGCAGAAGAATTCATAAGTGAGCGTGGATTTTAAAAAGGGAAAGTTACTCAATTTAGGTAGAAAGTTTGTGTCTTGAGATTTATGTGATCAAAGATTAGGTTTTAAAAGAGAAAATTGTTGTTTTCCGGTGCGTGTAAGAACCGAATTAAGGAACAGAGAAATAGTTTTAAAGCATATATTGCAAATGCCACTTTCTTCTATACTATATTTAGATTGAAGGAGGAGAGGGAAAGGAAAAGAAAATTGGGAAAAATGTGAAACCTTTCCCTTATTTGGATATTATTTAAATTAAAATAAAGGAGGAAATTGCGTACCCTTCATTTTTCCCCAAATTCTTCAATTTTCAATTATCCCAAATTGGATGAAAAGATAAGGAAAAAAAAGGGTGAAAATTTTTTAAATGTACCTTTATTTTCTTAATTAATTTTAACTATCTAAACAAAAAGTATATATATATATATATATCTTTTCCTCTAAAAAACTTTATTTTCTTTTTTTTTTTTTACTAATGACTTTCCAAACATAGTGTTAGACTCATTTTTCTGTATTAAGGAGGCCAAGGCCTTAGAAAAATTGGAAAAAAGGAATTTAAAGTGTTGGGGATTAAATCTTAATAGGCTTATTTTGCCCCATCAATAACGGTATATCAAGTGGTAAATCGAATAGTACTGTAAGATTTAATAAAATCTATGTTTGACAGTAATTTGCATTAATAAAATCAAAACCACTAAACACTTCTGATGTTGAGAAACAAAAATATCTTTCTTATATGAGGTTTTCTGTAATAAAAAATTGCATAAGTGACTTCCACTATTTAAAATATTAAAAAAAAAAAAGAAAAGAAAAGAGAGGGTTGTATTGGAGCTAATTTGATGTATTTTGCAATGATCTCCATCTTACATATTTATAGAGATCTTTCTCAGGAGATATATCTGTTCAAAGTGGTGGTAATTAACCAACCACTTTGCTTTTTTTTTTTTTTTTAAACTTATTGAGGACACATCTTTTAAACCTCCATAGATGTCATAAGATGTCCTTTTAAAAATGTTTAAATGCTTTTAAAGCAAAACTAGTGGTTGTATGCTTTGAAGTGGAAATTTCTCCTTTCTTTTATTCTATTTTTAAAATATTCCAACACAAAAGTAAGAAACTCATGTCATTGCATTATCTGTGAATTGAAAGTTCTTTCGCTTTATTTAAAAAAATATTCCAACACAAGGATGAGAAACCCATGTCATTATATTATCTGTGAAACTTCTTTCACTTTATTTGAAAAATATTTCAACACAAAAGTGAGAAACCCTTGTCATTGCATTATCTATGAAACTATATTAGTGAATCATATAGCATATATCATATATCATATCATATATAATATTATATTATAGCATACAAGCTTACCTGATAAATTTTGTTTACATGTAATTTTATGCAGACAATTTATATTATTGACACATATGATAGTTCTTTAATTGTAGTTAATTACTAAATAACCTTATTATTTAAATTTAAAAGATATTTCAAATCTTAAAAAATCATTTTTATCCAAAATTTTTATGTTAAATAATTTATAATCTTTATCTTCATTTAAATGAAATAAGATTATTGGGATCATTCCAATGAAAAAAATAAAAATAAAATCTCATTTAAAATTAACTTGAGTATTTTTTATATAAAACATGTATATATTATTTATCTTGCATTTAAACAAATAAGTACATTGTAAACAATTTTGAAGTTTTCGACTTCATTTATTTATTTATTTATTGTTATTATTATATGTTATGTAAAGTATGGATATATTTAAGTATTGCATTTTTATTATTATATTTGTAATATATGTTTTCAATTTTTTATTTTAAATTAATTGATTTTTGTATAATAGTCAATAAAACTAAATGCATGCATGAAAGATGTGTATTGTTATAATTTCATCATGTACAGTAAATATATAACCAACTTTCACTTAAATTATTTTTTAGTGTATAAATTAAGTGTTACAAAATAAAAAAAAGAGACTTTCTTTAATAAGTTAAATTAGATCATAGCTCAATAATAACATATAATAGTTATAGTTATTTTTTATTTGCATTAGAATAATAATCTTTTAATGTTTTCATATGTCCTATGATACATAAAATTCTTTCAAAAAATAATTACTACTAAAATAGATGAAAAAATATTTTGTATATAGATGGTGAATTTAAACTTTGGTGTGCGGTTAGATTCATATTACATAGATAAGAAGATAATAATATATGACAAAACATTCATTAACCAAGTAATTAATTTTTAATTAAAATATTGATAAATTTAAAACCAAATTAAAGTATTGATTTTTTTACTATAAATATACAAAAATAAATAATTAAAACAAAAATATTCTCCCTAAATTTAAAATCACATATATCTCTTCTTTTTTTTTTTTAATTTTTAAATACTTTATTATTAGTTTCTTTTTAAACTCAAAAAACACATATCACTTTAAGTCTATTAATAATTAATAATATGTGCTACATTATTTTTTTTAGTATTTAATTTTTCTTTAAGATTTATATTGCTTTCGTAATTTTATTGTTTATTTTATTTAGATGATTTCTTCTTTTGACATTATTTTTATTCAATTTTTTTATTTGTCACACGTTTCTTGAATTTTTTTTTAGTATTTTGATCAAAATCATAATTTAGTAAAAGTATTCAAAACACTTCTTTTATTATTTAATTGATCATTCAATATTTATGTTGTCCTAAAAGACCAATATTATATTTATATTCAATTCTTTTTACTTTTTTATCCATTTCTAATATCTCTTATTTTTCACATTTATTTTCCACATTTTGATCAAGATAATAACAGTAAAGTTTAATTTTCATATGATATGTTAATTGAATATATATTTATATTTTATATTTATCATAAAATTTTAAACTTAGATATAATTGTAAGAAAATATAAATTTTACAGTGTAAACACATATTTAAATAAATAAAATAATCCATGTATTGCATGGGTCACAAACTAATTGAAATATATTTTGACATTTGGAGTGATGGGGAAAATGGGTTTAGATAAGGAATTGAGACATATTGAAAGAGGAAAACAAAAGAAAAAGGATAAAAAAAAAAAAAATACACGGTTAGTGTTGGACTTTGTTGGATAATGACTAATAACTAGACAAGAGTGTAGGAGATTGATGAAAAAAAATGATTTCAAGGCATAAGGAAAAAAAGGCACCAGTTGAACAAAATGAAAAATGAGTTAACGGTGTTAGTATTAAACTAATAGAAAAAAAATGCATAAAGCAATTATGTATTAAATTTAAACTATTTGAAGTAAATGTCTGCTCAAACCATAGAATATTTTTTTTAATTTATCATATAAGAAAACCCACTATAACTCATATATTTTTCCTTGAATTGCATTTCAACTTAAAGGTGGACATTTAATTTAAAATAGAAGGTGATGCCAATATAAAGAGTGACTTGGACCAAAAAGGACTCTAATCAACGCAAATTGGAATGAATCATATTCAAAGCATTGTTATCCTTTCGTATTTCATTTAAATAATTAAAAAAAAACCTTTTTTGACTTATCAAAAGATTACTTTTTTTAATTATCCAAAAAAAAAAGAAAATATTACCTTTAATTTAAAGGCAATTTTTACGGTTTTTTACTTCCAAAAGCAATGGTCATAATGAAATGGAGATGAATCTGAGTTTTATTTATTTATTTATTTATTTATATGCAATCGATTAAGTTTTTTAATTTCACAATTTATTTTTGATATTGTCACATATCCATTACTTTTTATATAAATTTATTTATAATTTTTTGTAACTTCTTTTTATCTTAACAGCTTCAGAAACATTTCAGCATAGAGAGTCATCCTTATCATAAATATGGTTTAGGTAAAATCTGTGCAACTCTATCTTTCCGAATTTCCCTCATCTCCATTGGTCCTATCCTCCATTTTCTCTCTTTATATATATATATATATATATATATATATATGAAGCAAGGATCTACTTACATTAATATAGGTCTTATATTTTTTTTTTACTTTTGGATCCAAAGTCAAAATAATATTTTTAATTTTAGCTATTTTGATCCAATAATTATAAAAATATATAATCCCCCTCTTATATATACACACACACACGTGCGCGCACACACACACATACACATACATATATATACATATATATAGCATATATATACATATATATAGCATATATGTACATGTTGCATTTCATGATTTACATCAACTTGTGAAGTATTATTCATTTTAACTCATTAAACCTCATAAGTTTATCTCACAAAATAAATCTTACAAATTAAAAATTATATAAATTCTTATATTTTAGCAGCAACTTTAGCGCCTAGTCCATGTGAACTAATAACACTTAACTTGCTATTTGCTAATAGGGAACTGGTATTCGTTGGAAGTTAGACCAAAAGCAAAAGGACTGGATATAAGACACGAGCTCTTAAAGTTCTACGAAGAAAATTATTCTGCCAACCTCATGCATTTGGTTGTATATACAAAAGGTTAGTAGCGTTTCATTTGGTTGTTGCATATGCTATATACATACTCCCTTTGGTTGATTATTTTTGTTATTTGTTTTTTTGCATTAAGAATAACAAAAATAAAGTAATATCATAATAATTGATTTGAAATGACAAATAATATAAAACCAAATTCAATATTATTAGTCTTTAGAAGAGTAACATACATTTCGTCATCTAAGAAAATTATATAATTTGTGAATAATTTTTTAAATAAAATTATTTACTTTTGTATTCAAACATGTTTTTAAATGTTTTGATGCAAAAAAAAAAAAGAAAAAAGTAAATAGTAAAGCAGCAATCATACAGAGTCAAATTTCTTTCTTGCATTTTGAAAAAGTTGTATGGTAAAATTAAGATTATAGAGAAAGAAAAAATATACTTGATTAAAAATGAGCATTCAGTAAAAATAAATATTGTTGCATATATAACTGCTTCTTTTTTAGTATATGTGACATTAGGCTACTGTAAGAAGCAGATTTTCACATCTCATCATCTCATCCCGACCATTTTAAATATCCAAACTCAAGACCTTTTATATGGGATCTCAAACTTTGCCTATTGAGCTGTCCCGTACAACCAAATTTAAAAATATCATATAGAAGTAAAGCCATGCATTTTATTACATTGCTTTTTCTTTTTTCTCTAAAATTCATTTTATCATCCATAAAAAGTTAAATGTTTATTGTTTTATCTCCTCAAAAACACTATTATTTTCACATCCAAATGTATCTTCTTTTTTTTGAAAGTAAAAAGAAGTAAGAAAAAATCAGCAACCAAAGTCTAAATTGCTTTTAATTGCCATATAGAGTTTGATTTTGCTATTCTCTTACCACAATATTCATAAAGACTTACAATTTTTTTTTTCTCAAAAAGAAAGACTTATGGTTTAAATGGTTGATTGCTTAAATTTTCAATAAGATTAATTCTTTGTTATGAATTTGTAGAAAGCCTTGATAAAATCCAAAGCTCCGTGGAGAACAAGTTCCAAGACATTCGAAACTCCAACCAACGTGGTTTCCGCATTACCGGTCTGCCTTTCACGTCAGAACATCTAATGGTATAATGAAAATCAGCATGTTGCACCATCAATAATTTCTATAAACATAATCGATCCTAACCAATGTCAAAAAATATTTAGCAGTCTTTTATTTTTAAAATTTTTTTCTTTTAAATTTAACAAAATAACAGGTAAATTTCTTACATGTTCCATTAACCTTTTTATTCTAGTTTTATTTCAGTTTTTAATTTTCGAATTGTTTTATTTGAATTCTTGACATTTTAAAATATTCCATTATTATTATTTTTTTCATTATATTATTGTGTTAATAGTTGAGAAAAAAATATTCACATAAAATGCCAAGAGATCAATGTTGTGATGTGCCATGTGTATAGGATAAATTATTCCTTTTGGATCCATAACTTTTCAACATTTCATTTTGATTCTTTTTTAAAATTATTTAGTTAAAATGATCAATGTGGATGGATATGACATCAATTTTAACGGAATAGCTTCACAAAAGGATCAAAATGAAATCATTTTGAAAAATTAGGAATTCAAACGGAATAAATTAAAAATTGGGAATTAAAGTGAAACTGAAAAAAAGATTAGAAACTAAAATGAAAATAAAATAAAAGCTGAGAACCATAAACGAAATTTACACAGAAAATAACCTACATTAGTTAAATTCTAGAAATTTTCTTAAATGAAAGTACCTTAATCATATTTTGGTTGAAAAGTTAAAGCTGGAAGAATAATTTCATGTTGCTCTTCGCTTTTAATTTGATTTCAGATTCTTGTCAAGCTTGTTCCAATAAAAGAAGGGCACAAATTGAGAGTTGAATGGCCAATAACCCCAAGCAGGCATCATTACAAGGAAGCGCCATGCAAGTATCTGGGTCATGTCATTCGCCATAAAGGAGAAGGATCCGTGTATCACATCTTGAAAACACTAGGTAAGTTTGCTACGTCTTTTTTTTTTTTTTAAAAGTATGCTTAAGTATATTTAACATTTTTGAACATATGCCTTTGCAGAGACTCGAGATAAGTCATGTTAGAATCCTATCAAATGTTTTCTTTCTAAACATATAATTTTGTTTTAGGTATTGTTTGAATGGAAGAGGTATTAGTTGTTTCAGTAAATTCTATTGGATTTTTTTATTTAGTATAAATATATTAATAAATATACATGAATTTGTACATAATAATATTATTAATAATCTACAAAAAAAAACAATATATTCATAAATCATAGTTTTTTAAACATTTAATCTGATTATTGTCATAACTTATAGATCTGTAAATCTATAGCTAGACTTACCAAATGGAGTTGCCACTAATCTTTTTTACCTGGGTGTGATTGACCACCTAAAGAATCTATCCTTTTAAGGAGCTCCTAAGTTTGACTAAAGGTCCATAAAAAAGTAGATTCGGGTCTACAAACTAGAATAGGAGCTGAGAGTTCGGTTACATGTGGAGAAGGTTATAGCACCCCCCACATGCTCATCCGAAGGATAGTATCATATTATTTTAAATTCATCATAAGGTCTTGATTCTAATGGTTTTAAATTTATTATATTGAAATATTGAAAATAGTTCTTAAGATTTTTCATCAATTTGGTAGAATTTTTAAAAATATTTCATCATCTCAAGAATATTCAAGAATCCTATTTGTTTTTTTCAAGAGGCTCCATCATCGAAAAAAAGGTTTATTTATTATTCTTTTTGTCAAAAATATATTTAATTATTTCACAAATTGGGTTAATAGAAATATTTTTTTGATTCTAATTTTCAAGACTATTTAAACAATTCTTATTATTTAATTTCTAAATATTTTCATTTAATTTAGAAAATTTCTAAATATTAATTTTACCTTTGGGCCTATTTAATTCTCTTTTTTTTTTTTTCAGAAAGAAAATAGTATGATAATTATTTTTATTAAAATTTTATTTAAATTCTTCCACCATTTGAGACAAATTTAAAGAAATTTCTCACCTAGAGATTTCTTAAAAAAATTATCATTTGAAATTTCTAAGAATCTCATAATTGGATAATTATCAAATATTTTCAACTAAAAAATTTTATTTTTTCCTTTTTTTTGGTTTTTTTATTGGGAATAAACATTAATTATTGTTGTTAAAACTCTATCTAAATTATTCCATAATTTGAGACAAATTTAGACAAAAATTTCTCACCTAAGAATTTTATAAAAATTTACCATTTAAAATTTCTATAAATTCTATCAGTGGATAATTATCATTTATTCTCAAAAATTTTATTTTTTTCTTTTTTTAAAATTTATTCATGCAAAATTATATAAAAAATAAAATAAATTTAAAAAATAAAAAATACCAAATAGGGAAATGACTCAGCTCGGCGGCTTTGGTGGCTCGGTTTCAGCTATAAAAAGCGGCTTGGGGACGTGACTTGGTGGCTTGGCTTCGCTTAAGGGATCAATTGATATATAGGTCAAACGCGGATCAAAAGCGGGTCAACACTACGGATCGAGTCACCCAAATAAAAAATACGCGGATCCTGGGTCTTCTTAAACCCGAAAACAATGTCGTTTTGGTAAGGCTATAAAAATCAAATTTCAGCTTTCTGCTTCAGATTTCCTTTTCCCCTTTTCTTTTCCTCTTTCTCTAACCCATATGAACTCTGGTTGAATGCTTCATCAAATTTTGAAAATCTTATCAAAATCTAGGTTGGTTCGTTGGAAGTTTTGCAAAAAATTCAATCGACGCTAGAATCTTTAATTAAATTCTAAGGAACCTACCGAAAAATTTAATCAACATCAAAAATTCATCGAAAACTAAAAAATTTTCAAAAATCTGAGAATTTTCTAGATTTTTTAAAAAAAATTCCCTTATTTTTTACACCAAAAATCTTCAAAAATTGTTTTCTTATTGCTTTTTGCTTCTTTTTTTTTTCTATGTTTTTTTATTTTTGTGATTTTCTGTGTTACTTTTTTATGTTCCTCCTCTAATCCATAGGCATATATTTATAGGGTTTTGAGCCTAATAACCCTAAATAGAAAAAGAATTCTACCACATTTTTTATGCAATAAGAACTATGCAAAAACGTAGACACCTTGCACATGATCATCCCAACATATTCACTTTTTTTTTTTACTTTTTTTTATTTTTTTGTCATTTTTTTTGTTTTTTTTAAATCAAATACTCAAACTAACTGAATGACACAAAACTCCCCTAAGCAGAGGCTCAACGACTTTGAACAAAATAAATATGGCTCCTCTAAATAGAGGTTCAACAACTTTCAAAAGTAAAAAGCTTTTCTAAGTAAAGGCTCAATGACTTTAAAAAATAAAAGCTCCTCTAAACAGAGGCATAACAGCTTTTGGAAAAATAAAAGGCTCCTCTAAACAGAGGTACAACAACTTTGAAAAAATAAAAAGCTCTTCTAAACAGAGACACAATGACTTTGAAAAATAAAAGGCTCCTCTAATTAGAGGCGCAATAACTTTAAAAAATAAAAGGCTCATTTAAGTAGAGGCACGACAACTTTGAAAAATAAAAGGCTCATCTAAACAGAGGCACAACAACTTTGAAAAATAAAAGGCTCATCAACAATCATATCCACAGGAGTCATAGATCAAGTCTAATGAAATTTGTAATGGAAACTTAAAGATTCACAATTTAAGTTCAAAATTCAAAGATTTAGATTCGCAAGAACCTTTCAATTTCATAAGAATTCACTAAAATTTAATTCTAAAAATTTTAGTTTCACAAGAATTTGATTTGTAAAATTTTAGATATGTGAGAATTCATATTTGTGAGATTTCAAGATTCGCATTTGTGAGATTCTCATCCAAAGTTTCAATTCAGGGATTCACATGCAAATTGCAAAGCTCACATCCAACATCTAAAGATTCTCATTCGAATTTTAGAGATTCACATTTAAAAGTTCAAAGTTTCATTTGAGTTTGAAGATTCACATTTGATAAATTTAAAGTTTCACACCTCAAAGATTCTCATTTGAAACTTAAAACTCAAAGATTCCCATTTGAAAACTTAAAGATTCTTATTTGAAGATTCACAATCTTGTTTTAAAAGACTTTATCCAAAAATTCAAATTTTCTTTTTTAGATGACTTTCAAACTTTTACCAAAGTCAAAATTTTGTATGTAATGAATGTTATGATCAATGATACAAATGCTTTCTTAATGATGCAAATGCAATAATCTAGATTCTCACAATGCCCTATTTTAAGTTATAATTCAAATGTTTACTGTCTTATGCAAGTTCAAACAAAGTTTTAATTCATCAAATTATGTGCATGTACTGTTCAAACAATAATGCTAACATAATACATGGAATGCGGATGTTAATAATGTCATGAAATCTTAAATAATTATGGTAATATGATTTTAGCACTAGCCATCTCAGAATAAATTTTATCTTTTATCACTTGATCATCGCTCATAGGCTTCTCAACACTAACCATTTCAGAACAAATTTCGTCTTCCATCACTTAGTCACCACTCATAGGTTTCTCAATATTAGTCATTTCAGAATAAATTTTACCCACTGATCCATATTATTTTCATCATTCAATCACAACTTACAAGTTATGTCGATTGACACATCCCTATATCCATCACTTGGTTATATCACTTTTTCAAATTTTACCCTCTCTTCATTTTGTTGAACAATACATCATCATATTCATCATTTAGTCACATCATGTGTCTTCTCAAATCATCTTTTATAGGTTTCTACCATCTCTTTATTTTTTTACCCCCTATCATCATGGATTTTTTTCAAAAGAATGCAATAATCTTCTAAGCACATATTCATTCGTCATTATCATTTCAAATTATAACAAATGCAATGCAATCACACATTCTCTCCATTTGCTCTGTGGATAAGAAAATATAAGGTGAATCGAGAGAAAGATAATTAATGAAGAGTGAGTCTAGTACAAAATAAATAAGCAAAAGAACAAATTCAAAGCATGTCGTTAGAAATGGTATTGAACAAATGAAATAACAATATCCAAACAATGAATACCCAGATAATTCTTAACATTAATCTAAAATCCATTTTTAAAAACTCATTCCATTGATTTCTGAGATCAATCTTGAACTTTGCCTTAACTTGAAGAATCTTCAGACGTTTTTGACCTTTCTTCATGTGAATTGTTTATCTAATTCTCAACTAAGAGATTTTTTACCTAAATTGCCCTTTTAGGTTTTCAATTTGAGTCTTCCTTTTCTTTTTTTTTCATTTTTTCATTTTTTATTATTTTGTTATTTTATTATTTTATTATTTTATTATTATTATTTTTTTTTATCTTTCATCCATTAGTGATATCTCTCACCCATCAATCTTTAGAGCAATGTAGCTTGATTTTATTATTCCATCATGAGTATACCTTAGTTCAACATATGATCATTCAGTTCGAGCATTCACATTTGATCTAAATAAATTTTTAAAGGTTATAATATAGGCTATAGTAAAGGGTCATAAAAGAAATAGATAAAATAGGCTCAAAGCATATGTTTTAAAGGGTTCAGAACCAAATGATCATTTTTTATCATCTAATGTAGCTTGGCATCTTGGCCCACTCTACACCATTTCACTACTTTTTCTTCTTTCATTCATTTCATTCTTTACAAAAAGATCCTCATTGCTTTACCCCAAATCATATGTGGCATTTATTTTTTTTCTCTTTTTTTTTTACTTTTTTTTAGATCTTTTATGATCTTTTGCCTCTTTTTCTTTCTCAAAAGTTATCCCACAATGTGGAGGGTGATCCTTGGTCGGGGTTTTTTAGAAAAAGAATTCATAATAAGCTCAAAGAGGTAGCAATGAATGGTTTTTCGAATGGTAAAAGAAAGATGGCCATTTTTTATCTCAAATGTGAATGCTTTCTTTAAAAATCATCCTTTGAACAAAAACAAGTTCATGGATCTTTATAAAAGACTACATATCTT